TTTTTTTTTTTTTTTTTTTTTTTTTTTTTTTTTTTTTTCCTTTTCTCTTTCTCCTCCTTTCTTGGACAGTAGGGACCTGCCAGTCCCTACCTATGGTACTAGTTATGATGAAATAACCGCTATTAATATAATAAAGTCTATCTCTGATCTGATTGACTGTTTGGGTGAGAAAGTCATAAGGAAGGCCCTGTAGGGGGAAATGGGGCTTATTAAAATAAGTCCTGTAGGAATGGAAATAGGGTAGGCATGAGTTATGGGTTAGTTATAGTAGAGGTTTGATGTGGGTTGTCAACAGATCAGACTGCTGAATGAGATGGTGTGCTTTTCTTAAAACAGTGAGAGTCAAGTAAAGACAGTCCGCAACGATGTCAGGCCCTATAGCAGATGGCGAGGGGAAGGTCCTGACGCTCGAGGACCTCATTGAGGCAATGGATAAGCAGGAAAGGACGCCAAGTAATGTCCCCGAGGTCAATACTTTCCACTTCAATGGGGAACGAGTTTCTGATTGGTTGGACTTGGTGGAGCAAGCCTTGGTGGGGTTATCGAATGTGGTGAAGTTTCAGCCCATCCTAAAGTATGTACTTCATGTCCACCATCTGGAGGTGGAGAAGGTTATTAATGCGGCCAACGGTAGCTGGGCCAGATTCAAGGATGGAATGCAGAGAAAGTATAGGTTGGGCGATGGACTGTTAACCACGGTGGACTTGGAAGCCATGAACAGAGACGACTTCACCACGGTGGGGGCGTTCGTGCAGGAATTCAAGAAGAACCCAAGAAAGGTTCATGGCATCTCAGAGGAAGCCCAATGCACTATCTTTTTTAGGCTGCTTCCTGCCGCGGAGGCTGCAGAGCTGATAAGCCATGGAGGAGGAAGCAAGAAACTCACCTGGGCCACTATTGATAAAGGTGTGGCAGAGGGAAGTCTGGACGAGGTAGAACAGTACCAGATGCGCCTACAAAGGCGTAAAAGGAAGGAAAGGGATGCCACAACGTCTGGAACCCAGGAGTAAGAAGGATCGTCACTGACGTACTCGCAGAACTGGGGTACGAAAAATGTGTGGTAATACAGAAGAACGGCGGTCCAAGGGAGAGAAAAGGATCAAGTGGTGGAGGAAGCTGTTCAGGAAGAGTGGGAAGGAGAAGGGTCTGTGCCTCAACACCTTTCGAAAGCGCTACGCAAGCAATGCAACTTAGCTCAAGGGGGGCAAGGTTCAGGAAAAGGGCAGATGCCCCAAACAGTGGTAGTCTCACCACCAAGCGTGTCGGCTCCGTCAAGTAGTGCGGGACCCTCGCAAGTGCCGGTACCACCATTCGGGCAGTGGCCATGACCTATCTACAATACTTTTGTACCATTGGGAAGTCCGGCTCCGCCCGGACAGATGGTACCATATGCTGGGCCCCAAGCAAGTATGCCGCCTCCGAACTACCCCGCCGCTCAGGCCCAGCCCATGGCGCCGCCTCCGCCGCCAGCACCTAGCTCACAAGGTAGTGTGGCAGATGGAGGTGATCAAGGTTAGGGTAATCAGGGGAATGTAGGGAGAGGCGGTGGAAGAGGACGCGACAGAAATGGTGGTGGCCAAGGAGGTCAATGGGATAACCAAGGTTACCAGGGGCAGGGAAATCAAGGTAACCAAGGGAGCCAGGGAGGTGGGAGAACCCGTTTTGATTGGAGAACCGCCATATGCCAACATTGCGACAAGCAGGGTCATACCATACGGTTCTGCAATACAAGGCGGGAAGATGAAAGAGTGAGATTGATCTACTCGAATATTGACGGTGACATATATAATCAGTTCAGGGAATATATTGACAGGAAGGTCCTTGGCGGAGTGAGGGCGGAAGCCCAAAGAAGGGTAGCTGCACGACAAGCGTCGCCTGCCACGTTCAGATTATGGCAGGAGAAAGAAGATCCACCGATTAGGGTGGAAGAAGTGGGAAGTGATGAGGAAGTGACCCAGAGGCTACGGATAGGAGATATAAAGGAAGAGCCCATAGTCGTTGAGTCAGAGGAGGAGAATGAGGAGGAGAAAGTAGAGTCCGCATCAGTCCTGCTGGAAAAAATGGAAGACTTGTTGGGAAAGATGGGGAGGTACCAACAGAAGTTGGTGGACCTGTGCGAAAAAGTGAAGGAATGGAGGGCTAACATCCCCAAGGTCTTTCTCTACGAATCCGGCCCAGAATCGATGTCAGGGGGACCCGGGGTAACTACCGTAGGATCAGGCTCGCGGTCATGAATGATGACTAGACCCCCTACGCCGCAAGGAAGGTTGGCGCAGGCTGCTCGTACCCGAGGCCAGGCTAAGGCCGCTGCAAGCCAAGAGCCTACTCGAAAAAGACCTGAGCCAGAGAAGAGAAAGGAAGTCGTGGAGGTAGAGGATGATGACGAGGAGGAAGAAGAGGACGAAAGGTTGCGCCAAGAGGAAGCCCAGAGGGCGGAGCAAAGGGCCAGAAAGAGAGAAGCCCGAGAGGAAGCCGAGCCGATCCTGCGCGATGTACCACCCAAGAAAAAGAAGTATGCGGTCCGACTCGAAGAAGGGTTCGATGCAGAAAGGGTAATTGATAGGTTGTTGGAGGACCACAACGACCTGATGACCCTAAAGGAGATTTTGGCGCCAGCTCCTAAACTCCGAGATGGACTGAAGGGGAGGTTATCGCGACGCCTGGTGCCAAGTGTCCATCTGAGTACGATTCTGCCAAAAGAGGCGGAATGGGCAGAGACAGGGACAAAGATGGACTGGAAATGTGTAGCTTGTGCTATGGTGGATTTGATGGTGAAGGGCTCTAAGTGTGCAGCAATGGTGGATACGGGAGCGGAGATGAATATCATTCGCGAAGCTGACACACTCAGATTTGGGGTGGAGATAGACCGATCTGATTGCGGCATCCTACATGGATCCAACTGCAAGGCGGTGCTTTGCGGGACAGCCTCGAATGTACTTATCGAGGTTGGAAGAGTAAATGCCAGGGCCTGTTTTTTTGCCATGCCAGATGTGGACCACCGCATCCTCCCGGGAAGGGCGTTCTTATGGAGGACGGAAATGTTGATGTTCAATAAACACAACGGGACTCTGATCCTGATCATGTGTGACCTTGCCTGCGGAAATTATGAAGTGATCACCTGCAGGAATACAGGGCATCGAAGCATAAGGAACCGACCCAATCCGGGCTCGTTCACGATTGAGGAGTCGGAGGGCGAGTGCCGGAGGCTCCTTATGGAGCCAGAGGAGGAAGAAAGGGTCGAGGCATTTTCCCTCAGATTGTCAGACGTGAATAAGGTCATGGACATAGTGGCCACGCACGAGATGGAGGATCCAGACGCCATCGAGGCATTGAGGGAACAGGTCATGGAATGCCCCCAGGCTGGGGAGTTGGAGTTGGTATATCGGCTTCCAGGTGGGAGGATGAACTCGGCACCAATGCAAGCGCAAGCTGTAAGCCGGCCTTTTTTAGGGGACGGTTAAAGCAGGGTTCCCAAAGGCAGTACAAGACGATAAGTAAAAAGTGCCGCCCAGTTCTCGTTCTCATTACCGAAGATGAGGAGGTATACTACGAGCGAGAGCGAGGGTTGATACGGCAGATGAAATAGAACGCCACAACAAGGTCATGCTGTATCAACGTAGGGAACAAAAAAAAGTTGATAATAGGAAAGCCTGACTTCCTACTGCCCCAGGAAAGAGCGTTAATGATAGAATTAATGAAGAAAAAATACCGTGCCTATGCATTTGACGACGAGGAGCGCGGCAGGTTAGATGTGGACAAGATTCATATGATCCGCATCCATACCGTGCCGCATGAGCCATGAAACTTGAGAGGGGCGCGATATCCTAATCCTGACGAAGAGAAGAAGGTGGTAGATTACCTCGACAGTAAGGTACGTACGCATGTCGCCGATTACTCAAGTGGGCCGTACACACCCCTATGGTTTTGTTTCATCAAACCTAATGGAACGCTGCGATGAGTGCAAGATCTGCAGCGGTTGAATGCGGTGACTGTGCGAGACGCAGGAGGGTTGCCAAATGCGGATGCGCTGTTAGAATTCTGTGCTGGAAGGCCTATAATCTCACTCATAGACCTTTACTCCGGATATGACCAATTTCCGGTCTACCCGCCAGACAGGCTACTGACGGCAATGCATACGCCTCGAGGGCTAATCCATATGAATGTGGCTCCACAAGGATGGACCAACGTGGTAGCAATGGTCCGGTGTGCTATGATTCGGGCCATGCAGTCGGTTAGCCCGCATATCACACAGCCATATATCGATGACTTGGAAGGGAAGGGGCCAATGGTGAAAGAGAATGACGAAGTCTTGCCGGGAGTGAGGCGGTTTGTCTGAAGACATATTCAGGACCTTGAGAAAGTCCTGAATTTGTTTGAAGAGCATAACCTCACTGCAAGTGGGGCCAAATCCAGACACTGCATGAGGGAAGCTACTATCTTGGGGTTCGTCTACTATCTTGGGGTTCGTCTATAGTGAGAAATACCGTCGACCGGATATAAAGAAGACGGACAAGATTATTAAGTGGCCTGTACCATTCCACTCAGTAACCGATGTTAGAAGCTTCCTCGACACGTGTGGGTTTTGGAGGACTTTCGTCAAGAACTTCGCCGCCAAGACTGAATACTTGAGAAAGTTGGTTCGTCAGGATCAGGAATGGGTCTGGGGTGAAGAGCAGGAGAGGGTGGTGGCAGAGATGAAGGAAGAGTTCCAAGAAGGGGGCTTGGCATGGGAGCGCGGGACTATGACGCCACGAAAATAGGACCGTTCATTGTCGAGACGGATGCTGGACCGACTGCCTTGGGTGGAGTTTTGATTCAGGCAGATAAAGAAGGGAAGGAGAGGCCGCTGCGATTTGAGAGTCGAACTCTCTGTGCGAGTGAGAGAAACTACTCTCCGTTTAAGAGAGAGACTTTCGCCGTCCTCCACTGTCTGTGGATCTTTCGAAACTATATCTTTGGCAGGAGGTTCATATTGAGAGGAGACCCTACTGCTCTGGCTTATTCCTTGAGGAATTATGTTTCGTCAGATCCGACTGTTGTCAGATGGCTGACTTACATCTGGATGTTTAATTTCGAGTTAGAGCGGATTTTTGGGAACAAGAACAGGGCGGACGGGCTGAGTCGTATCAACTGGGATAAGCAAGAGGGGGAGGCAGTAGCGAACACACCCCCTGTTGATGGCTTCCTGGATCAGGAAGAGGACATCCGTCTTCATATCAATTAGTGGTCCCCGCGGGTGCCTAGCTGCGTCGGTCATCCCATCTGGCAAGCACCAAACGGGTATGAACAGAAAGCCGAGCTCAGGCTGGTGCTCAAGCTTTTCGAAGAGGAAGATCCGTGGGGCAGTAAAGATGTCCATTGGATGATGAAGTTGACATTGGCAGGCTCGCATAGTCTGGTAGAGGAGATGAGGACGATAGAGGAAGGACCGGATCAGGTAGAGAAGCACGAGGAGTTGATGGGAGGGATGTATCTCCTCATCAATACGCTGCTGCAAGGAAACTTTGATGAGATAGGCTCGTTGAATCCGACTGAGAATGAGGATGTGATGCCAGAGAGTCAGAATGACGAGTTTGAGGAGGGGGAGATCAAAGAGGCATTCCGTGCAGAGGAGTATGATGGAATCTACCTAGAACTAAGACTTTTTCTATCATGCGAAATGCGGGATAGGGATGCGAGCGATAGGAACCAAAGGATGAGGCAACGCTATTTGGTAAGAGATGGTCATCTTTTTGTAAAGAGGCAAGTGAGAAATCCCAGGAGGGTCATATGCAGCAGAAACCATCAGATTGATGTTATAGCTGCGCTTCATGGTGGCATTGCGGGAGGACACCGAGGAGTTAGTGCCACATATGCCAAGATAAGTGAGTTATATTATTTGGATGGGATGATGAAGATAATTGGTAAGTTTTGTCGGTCCTGCGTACCTTGTCAAGAGCGATCTCGTCTGAGGTCGGGAGAGCCACTGCATCCGAGGTTGGAAAGGGAAGTAGGGGCTGTAGTACATCTCGACTTACTCTTCATGCCACTTGGGGATCATAGCTACAATTACATCTTCGATGCGCGCGATAACCTTTTTGGCTTTGTAGATGGGAGGGTCATTCATACAAATATCGGGTCAGTCTTGGTTAGCTGCATCGATGAGTACTACATGCGCTATCCCTTTGTCAGAGAGTTCGTACTGGATAGAGGGTCGGAGTTTACCTGCCAGGAAGTGCAAGAATTGTTATCAAGGTACGGCGTGGTAGCCAATTACACCACCCCCTCGCATCCCCAGACAAACGCTCTGGTGGAGAGAGGACACAGTACCATTACGAATCTTCTGGCTAAGTGGACTGAAGGTAGGCCTAATCAGTGGCCACGGTACCTCAGGGCGACATTCTTTGTCGAGAATATTACGGTGAAAAGGACCACCGAATACGAATTGGTCACGCTATGGTACAGGAGACACGCTACCTTCCCAATCGAGAGCTTCCTAAAGACTTGGAGGCGTCAGGATTTGGAGGTCAACCTGTCTTTCAAGGAATTGCTCGATATTCGAGCGCGGCAGGTGGGCGAGAGAAAGAATTCAAGAGGCGTCCAACTAGGTGGAAAAAACCCGTATGGAGGATAAGGCTCGTTGGGACCAGTTGGCACGGATACAAAAGGTATCATTGGCAGTTGGAGACATCGTACTCCTGTATGACTCGTCATTGGAAAAGCAGTGCTCCAGAAAACTTGACAAGAGATGATTAGGTCCCTATTGAATTGTGCGATGTGGAGATTTCAGCGCGTACAAGATTGAAGAACTAGATGGGGCAAAATGGAAAAATTGGGTGTCAGGAACGAGACTAAAGAAGTTTGTGGTCAAAGAAAAGGTGAGATAGACAACGTAACTCCTTTTAGGACGATAGAATATGTAGTCTGAATAGGAGTGCATGATGCATGCCTGCGGTCTGACCCGAGCTTGCTTTATTTACCACCTGTTTGCTTACCCCAATGTGTGTCTGTTGTCTCCTTTGCCTGTTGTGCAGGTCTGACTTTGCGAAGACAGCCATGCCAAGAGGAGGGAGGGGGACATGGCCGCCACGGAGGCCGTTTGGAGCATTAGGAGGTTACGAGCGGCATGGGTCTCGCCACCGAGAGAGTACGCCCGTGTATGATGATGGGGATATAGAGTTATTCCTGGACGATTTTCGAGGGTATGCGGAGCGTATGGGCTCAACCATGACTCGGACGATCGAGAGGCTGAGAGGAGCCGGTAGGTTCGCTGAGCCCATTGCACAGATTTGTACGGAGGCGAGGATGCAGGAGCTACGACCATCACCTGTGGGACCTGATGGCAGACCGATCCGCCTGGAGATCAGGAATGTGGAGGATTTCATCCCCGCCTTCGAGCAGTTCATGCATGGCCAGGGCATATTGAGGGATGAGTGGGTGAGGACGCTGCCCCTATGGACAAGAAAGACAGAGAGACCCTTGGCTAGGCAGGTCAGAGACATGGCTCGGGACTGGGAGAGCTGCAGGGATCATTTGAGAGAGGCATTTCGGCGACCGAAGTCGCCTCACCCCAAAGGTCGAGAGGCGCCAGAGGAGCAACAGGCAGAGGGACCCTGAGCCCAGAGAGGCCAGGCCGTCTCGAGGGGGACGGAAGGCACTTGCCAGACGAGAGAAATTGGTGCCTGAGACTGAGGGGCGAGGGGCATATCCTGAATGAGGGTTGGGGTCGTTGGAGTTCCATCGCTTTACTGAGGGAGGACTGGGAGGATCTCCACAGCTCACACGGGAGGAGATGCCAACATCTGGAGAGCCTTTGCAGGAGTTGAAGGCACATTTGGATGTCTCACAGTGAAACGTACCGCCGATGAACGAGGAGCGTGGCGAGACAGCAGAGGAGGTATCACGAGAGGGGTCCCGGACCCTGAGCGAGAGATGAGGCCGAGTACTGAGAGGGGACATGCTGTAGAGGAGGTGATAGAGGTTGAGGAGGATACTCCCCCTCAGACGCTGGTTGTGGGATTAAGATTGGGGAGTACGCCACAGGGTGCACACGATGGAGAGGAGGGATGACAACGAGAGGAGATCCCACTACCACCACCAGAGATGGTCGCTTCGCCAAGAGGAAGGATGGAGAGGGAGAGAGAGAGAGAGCTGACCGGAGGAGAGAGACCCTTGCCATAATTGACAGACACCTGGCTCCACGCGCCCTTGAGCACCATGACCTGGAGGAGCCCGTACCTAAGGAGCCACCCCAGAAGCGACGCCAGGCAGAGAGAGAGATGGGAGTTGAGATTCCAGGGAGAGCCGACCATCGCACGAGGGAGAGAGTGCCAGCAGGGGAGACAGCTAAGGAAAAGCGGGCCAAAGTAGGGAAGCATTTGGAGGAAATCTAGCAGGAGAGACAGAGATTGGAAAAGGCAGGGGCACTCCCAGATCTGCCAGCACCACCCAAGCCATACGGAATCAAGGAGATGTGGGATGAGTTCCTAGACCTGCATGACGAAGGATTGACGGCTCCAGAAAGGGCAGAAGTTGGGACTTCGAAGAAGGCGGATGAGTACTTGGATCGAAAGATCTGCTTCCTGGCCAAGACATCCTTCGATAGATATATGATGTTGGAAGCTGATATGACAGGGAAGAAGATGAAGGAGATGAGCCATGGAGTACATCTGGAGGCCGTCGAGGCTGAGGTCCAAGAGCTCAGAGCATTGGTGGCTAGTCAAGCTGCCATCATCCAGGATTTGAGGCAGCAACCAAGAGGCGGGGCTGACAGAGTTGATAGGGAGGGGCCAACCGAGGTGGTGGACAGGGCAAAGAGCAGCCAGCGTGGAGAGGAGAGAAGGACAGAGTCTGGCTTATCAGGACGGCCGTCTGCAGCTGAACACCCCCAGGGGCCGCCTATGGGAAGAGTCATCTTGAAGCCTGAGGAGGCGAAAACCAAGAGGGAGGCAGAGAGAGAGGCCTTTGGGTTTAGAGTCCCTACTGAACTCGCCACACTGCCCATAACAGTTGTGGAGCCCACCATCCCACTATCAGTTGAGGAGGGGCGGCAGACAGCCAGCAGCGAGCCTGTTCAAGGCTCAGCAGAGGGATCCATGGACGTGCTTCTCGAGGCGGTTCATACTATGCAAAAGGAGGCGAGTCTATTTTCACCTGAGCAGAGGGTGGAGGGACCTCCTGAGAGAGAGATGGGGATTGCGATAGGGGACGTCATCGAGGGCGGGCCTCAGAGGTTGGATACACCCGAGTACAGGCCAGAGGGGATTGTGATACGACCAGAGCCAAGTACTCAGGAGTTGGGGACAGGACCAGAGGAGCCTTTGGATGTGCCCCGGTGTCATGAGGTGGTCAGGGAAGCAAGCGAAACACCATCATTGTCAGAATCTGAGAAGAAAAAGAAAAGAGGTCGAAGGTCAGGTGATTTGTCTTGTTTCTTCTGCAAGAGCGAGAAGCACAGGGCCTTGCAGTGTCCTAAGTTCTTAAAGGACCTAGCTGAAGGGAAAGTCACGGAGAGCGGTGGAAGGATGTATGATAGACAGGGCAGGGTAGTAGAACGGTCTGCCGATGGGGGTAGGGCCTAGTTGTACATGCAAAACCAGGAGGAGATGAGTGGGTAGGGACTGGTTCGCCTAAGTGGGGGCAGACATTAGACTATGTCTGATGAGGATGAGATGGACCTAGGTCGTAGGTCAAACACATGTTTCTATTTGACTTTTTTGTTATCTTTGCATTATTAGGAGGTTTGAATACCTATGTCGTGGAGTGTACAGATGGGGGATTACAGCATAGGGTGTCCATCGTGATTAGGACCATGTGAGATAGCATGTATATACTGAGGATGGGATAAAGGGATTCTGGATTGTTCTAGTGATTTTCTTGTATTGTTGACCATGTACCATATTGAGGGTGACTTAAATTGTTCTGAGTAATTCATGGGACGAGGTTATTGCGTATATTTTTGGATGAGATACCGCATCCCTGAGTGTGTTTTTGAGTTGAGTACTATTTGAGACTACTCTGGGTATATGACGATCACAATCGCTCTCACCTGTGTGGTTTTGTCCTGGTGTATGATGGTTTTGTGTGAAAGATGTATAAGGAACATCTTGTATGCCTTGTATTTTGTAAATGTGAATGGATGTGAATTGTCTAATCTTCCGTATACTCGTTCGATCTGCCCACGGGCAGGTGATAGGGCTGGGTATAAGGAGAGGAAGCGCAGTCTATTTTTGTGCAAAGAATGAGAATCCTAAGGGGTTTATGAGTCTTTTGAGACTCAACTGCTTGCCATGCTGAACGTTTATTGTTGAGTTGAGGTAGGGGGCCCGCAAGTTGGTCTCTTGACTTGAATGATTAATGGTTGAGACGCCTTTTGTGGGAAAGACAGTCTCCTGTTTGTTGGAAGGCTCATCTTCAGGAAAGGGAGATGTGTTAAAAGGTCGCATGGGAGTTCATCATAGAAAAAGAAGGGATGGCCGGGAGACCTATTGAGAGAGACCTCCTTCATATGAAAAGGGGGTGAATGGATTCAATGGCATGACAGGTTGATTTTGGATGATAAAGCCTGACGAGAAGGACCACGTTTTTGCTTGACCATTATTAGAATTTTGAGAAAGTCGCAAAAGGTTTCATTGAAGATGTCACTGAGAGGTGACCTTCTTGCTCTGATCAAGTAGGGAGGTCACAACCTTGTGAACTTGGCGGTGATTCTGTTTTGTGAAAGAGGAGAGGTTGCCGTGTTTCTCTATGTTGTCCCACAGAGAACTGGTAAATACCTTTTAGGTGTGACAGACCTTTGCGCAGTCCTGCAGTAGGCCTGTATTGTTGCGACACACCATCCAGACTTTTGTGCTAATCTTGGGGCATTTATGAGAATACCAAGTTAATGGTAAAGTTTAGCATCACTAGGGCGCAACTCCTAGTGTCGGCTGCTGGTCGGCGCAACCTGACAGCGGGCTCACGTCTCGCCAAAAGGGGTGTGGCCACCCAGGAGGGTTTTACCTGCCGCGGGATGGTGTGGGATAAAAGTCGAATCTTTTTTAGTCCTGATAGAATGCTTATCAGGAAAAAGTCTATCGTGGCGCAACCTGCGAGGGCACTACCGCTGAAATAACAAACGCGGTGGGCCGTAGTTCTGGCACGATCACCCAGACTATGGTGGGCCACGATGGAGACCTGACCTTCCTGTACTAGACTGCAGGAAGAGTTTATGACGACATTTGTGTATAAATATATGTTTGATTGTGAGAATTATTAAGAGGGAGAAAAAAATGCCTTCGAAGGTCTCAGTTAAGGCCCGCGTCCCTGGTTATGACCCTGCTTACAGGGTAGAGACTAGAGACACCTAACGAGAAGTCGGCGTTTGTTTAGGACAAAGGGGAGGGGACAATTGAGGAATCCATTTAGGACTTATGCTGTAGTAAAGTGATGAGTATCCAATTGTCCTAGTGTCAGGACGATGGAGACCCAAGTTGGAATCCTGACTGCATAAAGTTGTGGTTGGAATGGATTGATGGAGGCCTCAAACATGAGTCTGTCGGCTGATCGGATTGGTTCCTTTCTCGTCAGCATTTGGAGGTTTTGGATGGATTTATAGTTTTTCGAACTTGTGAAGCGACGGGGACGTCGCTTAATATGATCCGGTAAGCTGTCGGTGAGAATACCCTTACAAGGGTATCCGCCCTGGTTCTTGCAGGTAACAGGAAATAAGTCTGGTTTATAGTTTGATTATACCACGCGAGGCGCGACTGCATCCGTGAGTCCTGTTGACTAGACAGTGAACTAAAGCAGAGAGTGTGGGGGCACGCAGACTTAAGGCGCACGTGATCTGTTTTCGCCCTTGATGATTGTGAAAGTCGGCGTTGATTGTCGGCCAATATTTATATTTATAATTGATTAAACTAGGGTTAACGGATGTATTTCTATTTATTTGGTATGTTTGACCAAGACACACGCACGTGCGTGGATATCGGCCCCGACTCAGGTGCGATTTTCGTATTGTAAATAGAGGGCGCAAAGGGTAGAACACGCGGCCCGCCTCCGCGCGGTAGAGGCGGGAGCTTGGCGGGCGTAGAGAATTGGTGGCAAGGTGTGGCCCTTCGTGGCTTAGGGGCGTGCGGCGTCACAGGTTGGCGACACAACAACCCCGGTTCCATCACCTAAATTTTTGCCCCTATTTGGTGATCGATCTCAAGACCCGCAGTGAGATTGACGGGTCTGGCTCAGTGGGTATACCGTTGAGCTATTGGAATATAAACCTGTGCTTGATTCCAGATGAAGGGACCCTCCGTGGGGACACCACCTACCAGCCTCACATCTGCCGTGAGGGGGGGCGTCGAGGGAGATCGGGCCCCGTTGGAATAATTGCTACTACCACTAAGACTAGTACGGAGAACCGTTGTGTCGGGCCCCACGTTACAGGGTTGCTGCGGACCAGATGAATCCCATGTGGAGACTCGCAGGCTGGTGCCTACCCAGGTTGGCCGACGAACACACCGGCGCAGCTCGCTGTGCTGGAGCCTGGCGGATTGAGAAAGAGCTCGTCGACAAAAAATGATCAGCATTTCGCACGGGCCGCTATTCCCCGCCTGCCGGTCGTGACCAACGTATTAGCAGGTATTTCCCCACTCATAGATACTAGCGCCCTTGATACAGCTAGGCTCTAATGACTTCGGCCGAAAGGCCGACCAGGTGCGTTAAAAGTAGCAGCAAGTAGGACAAGGGGATGATTATGGCGGCTGAGGAAAAATGTTGCAGGTTATTGAGGGTCGGTTACTGTCAGGGGCAGCAGTGAAGCGCTGCGGGCAGAGTAGGAAGAAGGAAAGAGAATGGGCGACACTTTACGCGTGGAGCGTTCGGAGCAGGGGAGAGCGGAGCGCTACAGATGATACTGGGCAGCCTGGTAGTGAGCGGCGAACGTTGGCAAGGAGAGTGAACCCGGACGTGAATCCGCGCTGGGTGTATATGTAGAGAAGCACGAAGCTTGAGTATGGCAAGGGAGAAAGTCGATAGCGTGCGGGACTCTCAACAGAAACAGGTGAGGGAAGACATCAGACAGGGTTTTTCGTAGGAGGCGAATCCGCTGGAAGAGTTAGATTTGTGGGAAAGTTAGTATAGATGTAGGTTAGTAAGAAGAAGACGTGCGCGAAGGCAGAGGGGACATAAGTATGGTGGAAGTGAAGAATGCTTAGTTCTTGATGAAAACGGACGAACTAAGAATCGTCTTGGAGGTTTTGATACGAGGCGAGTTGATGTGTGATGTTAAATTAGTAGTTAGAGTGTTAGATTTGCGGTAGGAGATTGTACGTGTTGCGCAAGAGTGTCGAGGTGGAATGGCGATGGCAATTTTGGAATCGCTTGTTTCGGCTGGTACCTAGCAAGTTGGACCGGGGAGGGGATAAATTCTAGAGATTGAAGGATGGGTGAATCCGATGAGGAAGTCGGATTCGAGAGTTACGGAGTGGATACAGTGGTATGAAAGGTATGGGCTGCGCGTGGGAGAGAAAGAACATAAAAAGGGGGAGTGTATTTGTCCATCTTTAAGCAGGAGATTCCTTCACTTTTGCCCATCCTATCAAAGGTAGTAGTGGGAAGCCGGCTACGGGATCGGAGACTTACCTATCGGCCGGTATGTTGCTCACCCTATTGATGTAGTATTCCATCTATCTCTTTGTGTGTGTATGGCGGAAAACCGGCCTATACCTCTGTGACCTTGAAGATGATGCGTCCTCACGATTTCACCTCGGCGGACAAGCGAAGGCTCACATACGTTGCAGTTAAGCAACTACTGGGAGCTTTGAATCTGCCAGTGTATGTGTCCTCGTTCTAGCTGAAGATTCATTCTGTTGTGGCTCATACTGTTAATAGGAGTAGTGCGAGGCCGGACACGAGTTGGAGGCCTGCCTGCTGGCCGCATTGCATGCCTTGGCGATCGGAGTAACTGAAGGCAAACCACAGATTGAGTACTTACCTGGCCGAGGGTCGAAGGAAGTGGGGAGCCGCCCTGCTAGGCTGAGGGCCGCTTAACCCATTTTGCCAGGGCAGCAGGAAAATGAACCACGGAGTACGGGCCTAACTGTTGGATGGCATGCCGCACTTACATAACCAGGCTGGTCGAGACATGGTTTAGTTGTGAGGAAGGGGGGGGGGGGCGTGACAGAGAACGAGATGGTTGTTTGAGTAAAGATAGCGGTGATCCCGCGACCTGACAGACTAAGTGGGCAAGTGTTATTCGCAGTAGGCAGGAGTATGAGAATGTAGCGAGTTGTGGAACTTGGCAAAGTTGCTCCTGGACCAAAAGCCAGCACACCAATTTCACTGTTGGGGATTGCAGTATGAGCGGTACATACGACTGTCGATTAAACCTTCAGATTGCTGCATCGGTGATTGTAAGTCCCAATCGGTTGGTACAGTGTGGTGACCGCCTTATTGTAGTAGCTGTACCTGAGAGTTTATGAGTTCCGCAGCGTTTGTTACAGTACATGTGTGATTCTGCTGCTATGGGACTATGGCACTACAAGCTTCGCCGTACTCTGCAACTCTTTCGCTAAGTCGGTGTTAGGCACTACCGTTGTATCAGACTGCGACATCAGAATAGCCACGTGCGAGGTGTTCGCTGCATAGGGGCGCGCTTTGTTTCATAGCGACCAT